ATATATATATATATTTGGCCATACCTAACAATAACATATTACAATACTCACTGCTTCAGTTGGTGCTGTTCTTGTGACTGTTAAATGTAAAATTTGCAAACAAAAAGATAAAAATTTTAATTCTTTTGCAAATAAAAATATATATTTTCATATTGTGAGATCTGCAACTCTGAAAAACCTTCTCTGCACAATTTCTCTGTACTCCTCTTGTATATTTTGCCTCAGATTCTGTCAAGTGTTCTGAACATTTCAGTAACTAATTTTTGCATGAATTATAATGTCAGAAAAGTATATTTAATTTAAATACTTGAAAATCATTCACTGTATCCCTCAATCTTTTATTCAATGAACTGAAATAAATGAAATTCAAGGCTGATTACAAGCAACAAAAAAAGCAATCTTTCAGAGTTAAATAAGTCAAAATTTACAGTCATGACTGTTCTTGATCTGTCAACAGTCCCCTTCCCACCACCAGGATCCTTCCTGTTCTCCAAGTTCTTAAAAGCAAAATAAATAGGATAAAAATAAAATAGAACAATCACACTAATCAAAACCAAAATGAACTAATACTATGATTTACATCTAAATCAATTTCTTCTAATTTCATTTTGATTACACGAGCGATATTCCCCATGTCCTTATCCATTATTTGCTTAAAATCTCGAAGCAATCCAAATTTATCATTTGTCGGGCCATCGATACGTTTGATTAAAAATGCTCGAATGAACGTCTTTTTGTATGTTGTTCTTAGTAACAGCCTTGATCTCCTTATTGTCCTCCTGAAAATATTTTAACAGAAGAGAGATTTTGTTGAATTTGGAGATATCCATGCGTTGTTGAAGACGATGAGTTTTACATACATACCACTCAATTCCAATGTATTTGCATATATAGGAATTAAACTTCAATTTTTAATTGCATGCCACCTTACAACGCATAAAGAGATGTATTTCACTTTTTAAAAGTTAAAATGGTGGTATTTTTAATGTGATATGAAATGATTTTGCTGGTATTAATGTAAAAAAGGTAAAGTTGAGGTGTTGGATATGTAAATACATAAGAATTGTGTGGTATGTATGTAAAGGCCACTAACAGCTAAAATGTTGAAGACGCAAATTGCATTTTCTTTGTAAAAGACTCTTATCCTCATACCCTTTCAATAATTTTATAAAGGTTTCTTCATTCCATTTTAGGGACTAATGGATCATTATGAAGATATTGTTGACTGCTTCAATCGGAGGGGCGTAGGATCCTTCATCAAATCAGTATAATTGGAGATTATTAACAAGTTATTAAGAGATTATCATGCCATTATTGGGGGTTATTACGCAAATACTATGAAGGTATTGGAGCAATTATGAGCGCGGTGTAAATAGGGGTTATTCACGGGTTATTTGAGGTTTATTGAAGGGTTTTATTAGGTTATTAAAGGGTTATGTGGTTGTTATTCACTAAAAAACGTGGAGTCGTTGGATCACTCATCAAATCAATTTAGTAGGGTGTTAGAGATGCGTCATATTTTAGCCAAAATTACATGAAAATAACAATACGAAAAAAGCCATTTACAAGATAACTCACATTATGGTACATAAGAATTTTGAAAGTTAGGGGTGCGATATGTAAAAACATAAGATATGTGTGATTTGTATGCAAATGCCCCTAACAAGTATAACGGAGATATAGCGTGACATCCAATACAAAGTTAAGAGCATGATAGCTGACATTTGTTGTTCTCTGGTTATCCAATTTCTGAATTTTCCAAACTTTTTTTGCAGATTGCTTCATTCATACCTTTCCCAAGATAAGCACGAAGAAGAGGTTTTCATGAGGTTATTTAAAGGTTATTTGGGGTTTATTGTAGCAAAAAAAAGTGGAGTCGTTGAATCCCTCATCGAATCAGTATAATTTGGGGTTATTGACGCGTTATAAAAGGGTTATTTTGGAGTTATTATAACGTTTTTATAGGATATTGACTGTTTATTGACTCAAAAAATGCTGAGTCGTAAGATCCTTCATAAAATCAGTATAATTGGAGGTTATTTAAAGGTTATTTGGGGTTTATTGTAGCAAAAAAAAAAAGTGGAGTCGTTGAATCCCTCATCAAATCAGTATAATTTAGGGTTATTGACGCGTTATAAATGGTTATTTTGGAGTTATTGCAACGTTTTTATAGGATGTTGACTGTTTATTGACGCAAAAAATGTTGAGTCGTAGGATCCTTCATAAAATCAGTATAATTTGAGGTTATTAACAAGTTATTAAGATGTTATCATGCCATTATTGGGGGTTATTACATAAATACTATGAAGGTATTGGAGCAATTATGAGAGCGGTATAAATCGGGTTATTCACAGGTTATTTTAGGGTTACTGGAGGGTTTTATGAGGTTATTGAAGAGTTATGTGGTTGTTATTCACTCAAAAATGTGGAGTCGTTGGATCACTCATCAAATCAATTTAGTAGGGTGTTAGAGACGCGTCATATTTTAGCCAACAATACATGAAAATAACATTAAGAAAAAAAACTATTTACAAGATAACTCACATTATGGTGCATAAGAATTTTGAAAGTTAGGGGTGTCGTATGTAAATACATAAGATATGTGTGATTTTTATGCAAATGCCTCTAACAAGTATAACGGAGATATAGAGTGGCATTCAAAACATAGTTATGAGCATGACAGCTGACCTTTGATGTTCTCTGGTTATCCAATTTCGGAATTGTCCAATATGTTTTGCAGATTGCTTCATTAATACCATTCCCGAGATAAGCACGAAAAAGAAATTTTCTTGAGGTTAAGTGGGATTTATAGTAGCAAAAAACGTAGACTTGTTGGAGGGTTATTTTGCAGTTATAATTGGGGGTTATTGATGCATTATTGGAGGGTTATTTTGCAATTATTGTAACGTTTTTAGAAGATTTTGACTGGTTATTGACTCAAAAAATGCAGGATCCCTCATCAAATCAGTATAATTGAAGGTTATTGACAAGTTATAGGAAGGATATCATGCCATTAGTGGGGATTACTAAAAAAATACTATGGAGGTATTGGGGCGATTAAGAGCGCGGTTTAAATAGGAGTTATTTACTGGTTATTTGAGGGTTATTAAATTATGAGGTTATTGAGGGGTTATGTGGATGTTATTCACTCAAAAACGTGGAGAAATTGGATCACTCATCAAATTAGTTTAAAGAGGGGTTAAAAATGCGTCAGATTTAGCCAACAATACATGAAAATTACATTAAGAAAAAAGCCATTTACAAGAGAACTCAAATTACGGTACATAAGAATTTTGAAAGTTAGGGGTGCGATATGTATATACATAAGATATGTGTGATATGTATGCAAAGACCCGTAACAAGTATAATGAAGATATAGAGTGGCATTCAAAACATTATTAAGATCATGACAGCTCATATTTGATGTTCTGTAATTATCCAATTTCCAAATTTTTCAATATGTTTTGCAGATTGCTTCATTTATACCTTTCCCGAGAGATAAGCACGAAGAAGAGGTAGCTATATCAAGGATTCCAACAGATGTTGATTCCAGCAGATGTTGGTAATGAAAATCGTGAAACTGTAATAGACGGTTAGTTCAGACATCTTTATCAATGTAGAAAAAGAAGAAGAAGAAGAACAACAAGAAGAACAAATAAAGTTCAGTTATTTACTCTTAATTGAATAAGTATTCTGCTAGACTTATTCCAAGCACTTATTTTTACTTTTATTCAAGAATATTGGTAAAGCTCTTTTCAATAACAACCCTTTACAGCCCACTTCATGTTAAAAAATGAGTTCCGAGAAGAATTTTATGCTTCACGTGCAGAAGTAACATTGATATTTCATCTGAATTTATACTTTGATATAACTCAACTCATATTTACACATCTCATAGTAGGTAGATATGTTACAAAACATAGTAAAGTCTGTCAACTATGTTTGATATGATGCATATTTACACATCTCATAGTCTATTTCTGCTCAAAACAATGGCATATCATCCTGTCATCCTAATTTATCGCTCCACTCGCTTCTGTCTATTTGTAAAAGTGTTCCCACATATTTACGAATACCCCGCAATCAACGCTATTGCTTTGGACCAGAATGTCTTTGACCATTGAAACCGACCATGCTCTCAAATCACCCTTGAAAGCCTTCCCAACATCCTGAACAAAATGTTTCATCTGTATATTTAAACATTGATTTAAATATATAACAGTCTAGAAAATGGAAACACTGATTCAAAAGTGAGTGATTTTCTGTTGAGTGTTCTTACAACGTCATGAGCAATCCCCAAAAAGATATTGTTAGGTAAGGAGTCATACAATTTCTATTTGCGGTCATTCAACCCTCCAACTAGCAATGTCCAGTGTTAATTATTAATTATTGATATCAAAAGTAACTCGATTTTTCTATTGCCTCCTTCCTAATGTGTTGAACAAACAGGGTATAGTTATGCTGCCTGTACACCTGCATAAAAAGGGAATATCATTCAGACACTTTGTGCTTAAGTGTGCTCCAAATAAGTTGAACTTGTATGCTTACCCAATAGAGTGGAGACACATATAAGTAGGATCTATAAAATTGTGGTGATCTGGAACACTTCTTTTCTAATAACATTGCAAAACAATCTACATGTTCGTTTGCTAACCAATCATTATTCAATAACTCTTCAAGACCTTGTCGACTCATTGATGCATGTCCCATGATGATTATAAGATCATCCTTGCATTTGAAAAATATATTTAGCGTGAGAATTGTCTTGGAAAGTAATGTAGATCACATCAACGGATGGTACACTAACTTGAAAGTGTATTTGCTGCATCATAGATCGATCACTTCAAGCATGTACTGTGGAATTTGACTTCTAGCGGGAAATCTATAACCAATGATGCGGGTAGAACCTATAAAACCAATCACTGATAATATATAATGTGAAGGATTACGTTAACAGACTAAACAATAGAAGGATGTATTATATACCTTAACTGGATGGTCATCTACAACTTCTGGGCCTGAGTCCTCCTGCTGCTCTTCCTCTTTATTTACACCTTCGACCACCTCCTCTAATGTAAGATCAAATATTTGACTCTGTTCATCAGGTTCTGTAATGAGTTGTACCTCTACTTTATCAGATGGTGTTAGATGAAGTTGCCCTGCTGTGTCAATATGTACATTTGGCTTGGGTGAAACAATTTCTGTTAGTGGTGGTTGCTCTGAAGCTGTCTCTTCCTCTTTCTCGCCTAATTTTTCAATTTGTGAAAATAAATCATCTAATGAAAACTTGGAGTCTTTCTCAACTTTCTTTTTTTGTTTTTTTTATTCTCCTCAAATGATGTAAATGGGGAATTTAATTTCCTCTTTTTTCTATTGTCTCTAGCCTTAACCCTTTGGATTGAAGTGCCTAGTTGGGAATCATGTATCCATTTCTTTAGAAACTTTACAACTCGCTCATTTTTTGCTTTTTCTAATTTATTTACTTGCGACTGCAAGTCTGTCACTCTGATATTTAAATTAACAAAACGTCTGTTAATTGATTCTTGAAATTCAAAATGAAATTTCTGTTGATCTCTAAGTATTTGGTATATTTCCTCTAATCCAATATTACTGCCTTGATAGGTATGTATTGGTTGGGGACTGATATGGCAGGGTTTTATAGGATTAACCTCAACATAATCGGGTGAATGTGGTATGGAGTGAGTATCATGGTGTGAGGGAAGCTTCACATGGATTGATGGTCCTTCAGCTGGAGGGGCGAGTAAGTGGTGCTCACTATATTTCAGATCCAGAAACAATTCATGAACCTACACAACATTTCAGACAAACACTATTACATCCCAATAACACCCTATATCATATTTTATAAATAATACAATATTAACACCAAAACATCATAATAACACCTTCAAGGGATTATTAGATGAGTGACTCACCTATTCAGGTTTGAGCCTCTTAAAGGCTAGATGAATATTTGATGCGTTCCAGCTCACTTTTGATGGCCACAACAACATTCGAAGTCTAGCCCCAGGAACAACAGGGACGACCAATGATGTGCGCTCGTAAAACCAGAGCTGTGTAAAACATAGATAAATCAATATTTTCTCTGACCAGAAATTAAAAAAAAAAATTGAAATGTATGCTAAAGACACTAACCGTTAGAAGAAATACAAAACCATTAATATATCCTAGTGGTTGGTTCCTCCTTATTTTCATTGTGTAGGCGTTTACTTGCTCAATGAGAAAGTCGCATACCGTAATAGGCCAATTATATGAAGAAAAGGAATGTACATCCTCACAAAATGAGTAAAGCTCTTGGGGCACACTGAAATTGTTTGAAGGAAAAAGTAAATTTGTCACCAAAAACTTAAGTAATAGTTCTTCGAATGGAATAGAGGACTCCCTGAGTGAAACATTTACTAGGTCACTCTTTATTTGTCTCGCAGTCACACAACAGAAGGGAAGCTTATTCCAATATGCTAGTGCTCCTCTGTTGGGCATACCAATAAGCAAAACAGCCTGGTTTGCATCAAATCTTACCTCTTTCTCGCCTAATATGAATACCGTTTGATCAATATACCAACAGTTCAATATGTGCATGGTTAGAATATGATCTTGAGGGTACGGAGGAAGATCAAAACACATGACTAAATTCATTGCTTCCAATGTTGTCCATGTCTCCTCAGGAATGGTTGGTCGGACCTTGTCGAGAACATCTCTTCCTGCAGAAAGTCGACATCTACAATAGATGGATTTTGCACTTAAAAACCTACATGAATTTAACATGAAATTATCACCATAAACACTGCATAACCAATTAAGAACAAAAGGAATTACACCTAAGAACACCATAGATACAACTGAATATCTTAATAACACAAAGATTAATAGAATAATCCCCCCAAAAATAACACAGTATTATAAAAAAAATTTTAATAGGAAGACTGACTAAATTTTCAAAAGAGTCAGTTAACCCTAATAAGAAAAAACTGGGCAGTTATACTAGATGGTGCTTAATGGGTATATAGTATGAGATATAAATACTCTATTTGAATATACTAAAAATAATACTCTTATGTAATGAAGCCCTCGTAATATAAGAGATTTCATTAATCATGCAAAATTAGTTACCAGATACAGGCAACCAGATGTTGAAGTTACCATCCTTAATTTAAGAAACTTGTATGTTTTTGATATTCTCATTACATTTATTCCAAATTTGTCATGCATTTATATAGGAACATAAATTGTTTAATTTAGCAAGCTTCATTAGTAGATTTCTAAACATCTATAATTATGTCTGAGATATATTTAATCATGTATGGTTGGTCGATACTGGATACATGTAACATGGTGTTGAAAGTTATGCACAGTCTACATAGAAGCTATCAAACGATGAATATAATTTGAACAGATATCAATTCTTTAATCATGCGCGATATAATATATAACAGATATAAAACAGGTGTACAAGTTAATGAAGTTTGATGGCCTTAAAAGATAGCTTGGCAATTCATGGTATTGCAAAACTCATGGTCCATCATTGTGGTCAGTTAGCAAACAGTAAATCTCTTTTGAGGGGCGAAATCTCTCTGAGATTTACAAGAAAATAAATGTGCACAATCTGCTCAATATTTTCCTTTGTTCCTATGTAATTAATATTTTTCATAGGTATAAGTTACCAAGAATAAACTAGAATCTTGTTGTGATCAAATGCAAGCAAAATTAAAATCATTTATCATCTTATGATATCAGGGTCCAGGAAAAAAGGAATCTAAAGCATGTTTCTGTGTTTTTTTTATTCCATCAGCCCCAAAAATTCCACTTGCCCATCGTATCTTCAGCCAACCAAAAATTTGCTCCACTTCAAGCATCTACTGCTCCAACCTCCACCTACTGCTCAAACACAAATACCAACATTTTTTCAATAATGAAGTTTTCTTCTTATCTGATTGAAGAAAATATCTTTATATCATAAATTATCAAGAAATAAAATGATTCTTAAAAAATTCTATTGGGTAAGTACCAAAGCCTTCAATCTCCACTGAAATGGAATAAAATAAATTACCAATATTCAGTCCATGTTGCGAGAACCCCTCTCAAATAAAAGGGAAATTTAGGCCGCTTGATTCACCCCATAACAAGTGAAGACGATCTCAGGTTGTCACATAAGAAGTAAAAGGCTCTTCAATTATGTCCTAGTTACGTACGTCAATGATATCAAGAATTAGTGAAACTTACATATTCCTAACCATACAGAGGACAAATGGGATGTGGTGAAGCAAACATATTCCAAAGTACATGATGTAGCTTGAGTTTATGAGATTACGACACATTCAAACCACCAAACAAGGTATTCTTTCGATTATAAAAAAAATAAAAATATTAAGCCTAAACCTAGAGCATCAAAGTCCAATATTTAGAAACAATATTACTTTAAAATGAAGCCCTTGTAAAAAAATTAATAATTTTATGTTCAAACATTATTACTGAGGTTGCGAGAGATGGGAAACTCTTAAAATCTTAAAATCTTTATGAGAAGAGTGCACCATATCTAAACCTATTTATACATACACATACATACTAATAAAGGTAGGTAGAGATCAAGCTGAGCTCTAGCAGTAGAGATGAAAGATGAGTCCATGTATTTCTTTAAGTTAATTAATGAGCTCTAGAACTATTTCAGTCCCTGTTAAAAGAGCATGGAGACTGATTTGAGATTTCCCTAAAATGGCCCTCAACAAAGAGTTATGGGATCATTTTGGAACTTTTCTTTTTAATTACTAAATTTGCATTTGGCCACCCCATCTAAGTGTTGATTTGTTTGAGGATCATGGGATTATCCTTGTCTAAGAATGAATTCTCAATTTCTTGCCCATGATTTGACTTAGGAAGCTGTGTGGTGAAATATAACAATATAGAATACTTAGTATACCAGTATTTGTAGCCTATTTTGTTAGTGGATTGATGTATATGTAAGATTTGCTACATTCATCAAACTGCCTATTCTGAGGAAATTTTTTCCTATTCTGAACTTTTATGTTTACAGACATTTTCTCTGCAGACAATGATGACTTTTCCAGGTAGGGTTGATGCCCCACCGGCATATGTACCTTTGCAAGCTTCCAATTTATGCACATTGCCCAGAGAAGCTAACACAGATGCATATGAAGTTCAATAGAAAAACAGTGCCGTTCAATAGCTCAATGTGGAGTTATTTTCGGACTCATTTTAACATCACATTATACAACAATGGCAATACATGAGTGATAAAAAACCTAGACGAAGATTTACCTAGATTCAATGTCCTCCTTGGGCTCTTTCGCCGCCTTCGTCTTACGATCTCTCCTAGCCACTTTCTTTGGCTCCTCCATTTAGTATTCCTCCAAAAGCAGTACCGCCAAACCCTACCAGAAGACGAAGAACGAAGCGGAGCTCACTGGCGAGAAGTTAAAACCAATGGCCCGCGCGCGAGAGGAATTTTAATGTTTTATGCTGCTCGGGCCGGGTCCGCGGGCCAAAATTAACGAATTTCAATTTTTTTATGTTTTATGAGGTGGGTCCCATGTAGGTGATGTGCCCGCATATTATTGGCGTCCGGAACACTGTATGAAAAATTATAACCATATATTATGTATATAAAAGTACAAAGTTCCAACATGCAAACACTTAAAAATTGGGTGGTCTAAATATATAAATGCCCAAATTTCATGAAGTAAAATTTACAAAATACATACATGCATATCACTAAAGCCCTACCAATTAATGCACACATGCATGTAACCATTGAATGGCATGAATGCAAATGCAAATTAATAAGTAAATCTCAGCCATTGAATCCACTACTCTTCACAGTGAGTCGGTTGCTGCCCACCTCTATTGGTCTCACTATATATATGTGTATCTTCTCCGATTCCTTCAGCATATAGACTCCCAGAGCAAAAGAATCAAAGATGAACGGAGTAAGTGAGATCGATGAAAAGATTAGATTTCAAATTAATTTTGTTTATTATTTTTAACTTGTTGATTTATTACTGACTTATTGAGGATTTGATTGAGAAGGTCGTGGTCGTCATGGAGACCGAACTGCACTGTGACGCCTGTCGTAGCAGGATAGAGAAACATGTTAAAAAATATAAAGGTATATGATTAGCTGTTAAAATGTTATTTTTCTTACATTTCAGATTGAAAATAAGAAAAATAATATTTTGATTAAAAATAAAATAAAGAATCCAAAAGTTCCTAGAGGCGGCGGAGCGGCAACAACTTGAAGATCCAGCCATCAAATACTGGGTAGGCGAGCTCATTCATTTTTTTTAATTTATTATATTATTATTTGGATTTTAGGAGTGCTAGCTGTGAATACCGAGTGGGGTACGGAGAGCGATACATTGAGCGTTTTAGGGTTTTTGGACCACCCATACGGCCGCATTGAGGATTATGTAATAGAAAAGAGTCGTAGGGAGGCTAAGATTCTCTCGGTGGAGACGGTGGACGCCGCCTTCGCCGCCCGGGTCGCTGAGTTGAAAGAATTGCAGGTGAAATCAATAATTATTTATTTATTTATTTACACTCAAGTAAATGAGAAAAGAATATATTATGGAGAATACTGAATTTATTTTATTGTTATTATGTAAGTTGGGGGTTTCAACTGTGCTGCTGAAGACTCGTTTAGACGGTGAAGGCTGCATCCAGAATGTCAAGCAGATTCTTCTCGACGTTAATGGTAATTAGTTTGCTTATTAAATTAAAAAACTTTATTTTGTTTATTTATGTTGAGAAAATAAGGGCGAAGAAAAACTAAAACGACACAAATCCAGAAGAACACAGAGATTTAACGAGGTTCGGCAAAGATGCCTACATCCTCGGGAGCAGAGCGGCGACCTTCTTTTCACTATTCAGAAAAGAATACAAAATACAATATTCAGCTCTCTCAAAGACTTAGAATTACAAACATATCTATTTATAATCCTAGAGTAAACTCTACAGTACAATATGTAATTACCAAATTACCCTTGTACCGTATAGCGGGGCGTTGACCCAGCACCCGCAACCCACATAACGTAACTTTCAGATTTGGACAGATTCTTCCGCTTCGCTCCGCTCTGCTCCGCTTCCTTCCAGCGCCTGTCCCTATGAGTCATGCCATAACAAATCTCCACCTTGGCGAATATCCAGCCCCTTAGGAGAAAAAGATACCTGAGAGTTACACATGTACCAATGTGGGTTGGGCCACCATGCTTCTGCTGCGCCTGTATCAATGTGGGTTGGGCCACCATGCTTTTGCTGCGCCCACGCTGATCTCAACCCACTAAATTCCAAGAGACACACCTCTTTAATTCCAAGAGACTTCTCTTCATTCTAAGAAACTCCAAATTCTGGTATTATGAGTCATACCTAACAATTCTCCACCTTGGCGAATATCCAGCCCTTTAGGAGAAAATCTCCACCTTACGAATATTCAATCCCTTAGGAGAAAAAATCTCCACCTTGCGAATATCCCGCCCTTTAGGAGAAAATCTCCACCTTGCGAATATCCAGCCCCGTAGGAGAAAAATATCATGGAGTTTCTTATGCACAAATGTGGGTTGAAGCACTTTTCTTGTTCCTGCCAGCTCCTCGGTTAAACTGTTGTCTCGTGAGCGAAACCCTTCGCGAAATACCTCCGCGAAACCACTGTTCGCGAATAATCGCGTCTACTCGCTCGCCAGCACCCTACTGAACTCCACCTGTCGCAAACTCCACCTGCGACGAACTTGCAAACTCCGCTGGTTGAACACCACCAAACTCCTATGTTTGCAAACTCTCCTGTTCGCGGTAACTGCACACTAACTCCTGTTCGCGAACTCCACCTCGCCTAATGTCGCGAAGGTTCGTGAACTGTCGTGCCTCAAAATCGCGACGCCGCCTCTACCGCGAACTCCCCACA